TGGTGGACCCTGGCCATTTGAGAGGTTAAATCTGCACAAAGATTTAAGGCAAATTCCATTAATAGTTTGGACTTGCGGGGTATTTTTTTGCACTGGAATGTATAAACAGTTGTAGGAGATGGAAAATATTCTTATGATGATCACAAATGTAACAAGATATTATCAAAGTCATTTTGATCTATTCATTGGGAAATTTATCAGGGTAACTTCAGTTTTCTAATTCCGTAAAAAAGTTAAAAGCAATAAAAATATTGAGGTCCATGACAGCAATGATGTATACAGTCATATGCAAAAGTTTGAAAAAAATCCCTGGTCAAATTATATGAATTATTGATTTTTCAGTCAAAATCAGTTCTACAGGGGAAACAAACTTAAAATGATATTGTTCTGCAAATTTTAGCATAAAAAATGAAATATGCAATATAAATTGTGCCATAACTTTTGTACAGGCCACATTCTACTTGTTTTCACTCAGAAAATCAACAAATAACATTTAACACATACAAAGAAAATGATAACAAAATCTCAATTTATCCGAAAGCACATTTCAAAAAGTACCCACAACTCTAGGGGCCAATCTAATGAGACAGATCTATGAAGGTCTCATGCCTGGTTTACACCACATGCATTCTTAAAAAGTAAAGGTGCCAAAAGAATTGCAGATAGTTTTGTCTCTCATTAAGTGCTGTGAGCTAGTAGCTAAGCATTTAGCAGGCAAAATAAAGTAAATCTATTAGTAATGCATCAAAATGAAAGTTCTTGGCCAAATCTGAAAGAAAAAAAAACAAAAAGCTGACCGTAAATAAAAAACAGTTTGCATAAAATATTCTATCTATCTATCTATCTATCTATCTATCTATCTATCTATCTATCTATCTATCTATCTGTTTGTCTGTCTATCCGTCTATCCGTCTGTCTGTCTGTCTGTCTATCTACCTGTCTATCTCTCTATCTATCTATCTATCTATCTATCTATCTATCTATCTATCTACCTATCTAAAAAAGAAAATAACAGAAAAACAAAGCATAAAATCAACTAGACCTCATGAATCAATGTTGCAAGCCAGCACATCTTTTTGTATCTTCAGCCACTCTTCTCTAACAGCCTGAAAGTGACCTTATTCACTCTTGTCTCTCTGGCTTGGTCTAACCATCAGGTCCTACCAACATATCTGCCTCTGAGCCAGGACTTTCTCTCACTCACTGACCACAGCCTGGGCAGGCATGGCATCATCATAATCCTCCAGCACCTCCAGCTCAACCTCATATCTTACATCATCTGCAAAGAAAAAAAAATTGATTATTTTTGTCATCACAACACCTCATATTTCTGAAATAGGTACCTAGAAGAAGGGAAAACGTACTGAATGTTACGGTTTTTCTCAGTTATTTTGGCACAATCAACAAATGAAACTCAAAGGGCCTCATTCACCAATATCTTGCTCAGTTTTTTCTTAAAATTGTTTTTGAGAAAGGTCTTAAGAAAAAGTCTATGTCAGAGTCATGACGCATTCTTAAACCACAGAAAGGTTCATAGCTTTGTGCTCTTGAGTGTGTTTAGATTCTGTTCTTACCTAAGAACAAACCTCAAATAAGAAACACTGGTGAATGTCAGAATCTTTGTAAAAACTGGGTAAGTGGGTTTATGAAGAAATTTCTTAAGAACTGTTGGTTAATGAGGCCCAATTTTTTCAAAACGTCAAATATCCACTTTGCTTGTATAGTTGCTATATTGTACAGCATTATATAGAATTTTTCTTGTGTTTATAAAGATTTCAGATGTTTCAGAGCTTTACAGCAAATACTATTACAGTTGTCCTCAGTTGGAGCAATGATGCATGGTGAAGGCCTTTGTGCTCAAAACTTTTCTTTTGAATTTCATAACTCTTACTGTGATAACTGTCTAAATCTTTACATGCAAAATAGTACAGCCAATAGGCAAAACTGTCAAATACAAAAGCAATAGTGATAAAGTGAAAGAGCTGTGATACCAGTACAGATACAGCAAGGTACACACAGTATATATGTGTATATCGCTGCTGTCAGGACAAAACCTCTTTTCTCATTTTTTAGTTTTTGACATAATTTGAAAATGCCTGTTGCCCTGTACAGTACACCTCGATCAACTATTAAAACAGCGGCGCTTGCACAAAAGTTCTCGCACTCAGGTGATCTCCAGCTCCAGGTTTAGCTCCAGCTCCAGTTCCAGTGTTCACTCCAACCATGAGCAAGTGCTAGTTCCAGTTCCGGTTCCAGTTCCTGTTCAGCTCCAGAGCCCATGCAGTGTGACACTTCCAGACTGTCCAGAGAGGAGAGGCTTTGTCGGCTTTATGGAGGCGCCAATCCTAGGAAATGTGATGAGTGTTCCCAAAAAGGGGCTGGTTTCGAAGTCTGTACTCCTTCCTGTTGCCATTCGCTATCGTCAGTCTTCTCTTTGTGTTACAGCGTTAATTTATCCATTCTGATGTGGTGGCTAAACTACGCATCCCGTTGCAAGATCTTCAGATGCCCCTCAAGGTCGCTGCGTTGAATGGAGAAGCTGTTGGAGTGGATCCCAGTTCCTTCATCACTGAACCTGTTTACTAGAGACCGGTTTTCTTCACAAAGAACTGTTACCTTTTCTCGTCATAGATTCGTCGGAATTCCCAATCATTCTAGGTCTGCCTTGGTTACAAAAACACAAACCCCAAATCTCTTGGTCTGATAGGGAGATCACAGCTTGGTCAGAGTACTGTTTTTCACAATGCCTGACATCCTGAAAGTTTAGAATTAGATCATAACTATAGAAAGCCCAGAGACCACTTGTTCCTCACCAATTCCCCCTGAATACTCTGATCTTACAGAAGTGTTCAGTAAAAAGAATGCGAGTAAACTTCCCCCTCATCCTCCCTATGACTGCACAATAGACATCTGATCCCTGTTGCACTAGAACAACTTCGTGGGGCCCAGTTTTTCACGGAATGAAACCTTCGTAGTGCCTACAACCTAGTACATACTACAGAAGGGGATGAACGGAAGTTGGCATTTATCACCACTAGGGGGCACTATGAGTACTTTGTAATGCCTTTCGGTTTAGCCAATGCCCCATCAGTCTTTCACTCTTTTATCAACAACATCCACCATGACATGATAGGGAAGTTCGTCATAGCCTACATAGATGACATCTTAATCTACTTCCCTGATTATGAAACACATGTGCAACAAGTTTGTCACGTTCTGAGTCACATACTTGAAAATGACCTTGTTGTTAAATTAGAGAAATGTGAATTTCATCTCTAAAGAGTCTCCTATCTCTGATATGTTATTAGTTCTCAAGGAGTTCCGTTGGATGACCAGAAAGTTGAAGCCATTGTCAACTGGCCGACTCCCACAAGTATTAAAGAACTGCAAAGATTCTTAGGATTAGCCAACTTCTATAGAAGGTTTATTCATAATTTCAGCATGATTGACGCTCCTCTTACAGCTCTTCTCAAGGGACCATCTAAAAATTTAACCTGGGGTACTGCAGCAGAGACTGCCTTCCTGGCTTTCACATTGGCACCCATTCTGAAGCACCCAGATCCATCTAAGCCTTTCGTGGTACAGGTGGATGCTTCAGAGACTGCAGTCAATGCAGTCGTATCTCAACATAGTGAAGAAGTCAAGAAATTATACCCCTTTGTGTTTTATTCTCATAAACTAAGCCCCACAGAGAGGAATTATGGTATAGGAGACAGAGAACTTCTTGCTGTTAAACTTGCCCTTGAGGAGTGGCGCCACCGGCTAGAGGGAGCTACTCACCATTTTTTGGTCTTCACCGACCATAAAAATCTAGAATATCTGTGTTCAGCTAAGCGTCTCAATCCTAGACAAACTAAATGGTTCCTGTTTTTCTCTGGTTTCCAGTTTAGTATTTCATACCGACCTGGTTTTAGTAATTCAAAAGCTGATGCCCTGTCACACATTCATCAGAGCAACCAGGAGAGAGAGCCAGTCTAAGCCCGAGCCCATTCTCCCTTCCAAAGTACAAATCTCTTGCACTCACTAGGGAGATTGACGATGAGATAGCCAAAGCTCTTAAAAGAATTGATGTCCCTAATAACTGTCCAACGCAGCTGTATGTGCCCAGCCAATTTCGAGATTGATAACATGGACTCACTCCTCTCTTAGCCCCGGTCATCCTGGTGAGTTTCACACACAACAGCTTCTTCTCAATGGATATTGGGGGGAGACTCTCAAGCAGTATTTACATAGGTTTGTAGCATCTTGTTCAACATGTGTCCCAAAGTAAGACCCCTAAAATATTCCCAGCTGGTAAACTCATGCCTTTGCCCATACCAGAATGGCCATGGTCACATATTGCTATTGATTTTGTAACTGACTTGCTCCCTTCTGAGGGTTATAGCACTATCTTTACCATAGTTGATAATTTCTCTGGAAGAATAAGATTCTTTCCTGTTAAATTCTCTACCCACTGCATTTGACATTTTATATGAACATTGACTTTATATGAACATATCTTCTGTAATTATGGCATACCAGAAGACATCATTTCTGATCATGGTCCACAATTCACATCTAGTTTCGTCAGGTTTCTGTGAACACTTCATCAATGTCAGTCTCACTTCAGGTGCACACCTTCGAGGGCACACCGGTCTACGTCATCTGTCAGGTGCTGAACTCCTGACGACGTGGAGGTAAACTCCAGTACCTCAACAATTGGGAGGGATATGGACCGGAGGAGAGTAGCTGGGTAGTGTCTAAGGACATCTCCGACCCTGGGTTGGTAGCGGATTTTTATGCCAGGCATCCAGAGAACCTGGCTCCATGTCCAAGAGGTCATCCCAGGAAGAACATCTCAAGCTCCTGTCTGGTCCGTTTCAATAGCCCTACTCCCATCCAGCCCCGGGGCAGGTCCGGGGTTCCGCCCTCAGAGGCCTCCAGTTGGGTAGGTGGTGGTCATCACAGGCGCCTTCATTCCTTGGCCATCCCGGACTCCTTGGGG